TCCCTAACCCTCCTTTTACTGTTAAGGTATTAACACGTTTCTCTTGTTCTTGCCTAGAGTGAAATAAGCAACCCAAGCTTTGGTCATTACCAAAGTTCCCTGTAATATTAAACTCAATTCAACATGGTGCCTTTTTAGGTGGGTCTGTTTCGAAAATCTGGAGTGAAATCTCGAATCCAGGCCCTGCGTCAGATGAATGAGAGCTCCCCAGAAAATGTCAGCTATGAAGATCAGTCGGCATATGATGTGGCAGACATGGTAAAGCAATTTTTCCGGGACTTGCCAGAGCCTCTCCTCACGAGTAAGCTAGGAGAGACTTTCCTACACATCTACCAATGTAAGTTCCAATATTTTTATTATTATAAACAAATGGGCGATATTATATATTGTGTAATAATATGTTGTAAATAATTTTGATATGTTAGTACTGAGTGGGATTCTTTCTGCTCACCTCCAAGATGTATAAAAGAACCTCTCTGCCTTCAAAATCTTTCACTGAGAGATTTTTAGAACTGCCTAAAGGTTTCAGTGTCAAAATACTGGCAATTTTAATGGAAAGACAGTGTTGAAATCTTGGGAAGCTTTGAAAACATCAGCCTCACCATCAGAAAGAAGTCAGAAGGACAGGTTGTCACGGACATAAAAAGCATGAAGACTCGTGTTTTTGTCAGATTTCTTTACGCTATGGGCCCATTTCATGTACACATCTCAGTACAAGTGAGTTGTCTGGGCATGGAGAAGAGGTACTTGACCATGAGAACATAAGCCTGTGCAGTCCCTTTCTTTGCTGTGACTTTTATTTGCCTTTTCATTATAGTTAATAGAATGTACATGCAAGCAACAAGCTGCCTTCATTTACATCCTCAGCTTCTATGTAAAGATGTCATAGAGAAAGAAAAAAAAATGAGAGGATTTCTTCTTTTCATTTCAGTATAAGCAGTCTTCTGCAAAAAACTGAAACTCACATGCATCCGAATGATGAAAATCCCTGTAAATCAGGAAATGGCTGCATATCTCTTCTCCAGATTGAGGGAGAAATAAACAATGAGGAAAACACTGAAAAGCCAGAGGAATTAGAGTTTTTTCCTGACAACGTCCATTATGAAGGCCAGCAAGCCGAGGCTCTGGCAGATACAGAAAAGCATATCCGGCCAAGCCTAAGCCAAATAATTGGAAGCACTAAAGAGAAGTGTGTCTAGTCTTTTCACTTGCAGACGTTTCAGCTGCCAAAACAATATAAAGCCATTTTTAAACACTGTATAATCCCAGTGCTAAAGAATCTAAGTTACTTCTGTGCCTCCCTTTACTGTAAAAATCTGTCTGTGGCGCATAGTCACTAATGTATTTAACATCACAGTGTCTGTAGCTAGTTGAGAAATGCTGTGCTCCTGCATGAGAGAGACAGCATCGCAAATAAGTTTAGTGGATTTGGTTATACATGGTGTCTTGGGACACAAGGGAACAGAAACAGTTGGTGCCTAGCCCTGAACCATCCTTTCCCCATCTTCTTTCCTCCTCACGAGTTGCAGGTCTTGTCTGCCTCTGCACACACATCAGCAAGCTTGTTCAGAAAAGCAAGAGAAATTCTTGGTGTTAATAAAATGGCAATCATCACAACTGTTTCCATAGTGAAGTGGCCAGGGAGATTATCCACTGGAAGGACATCTTCTACATGTCCTTGGAAACAAATCGCCTTTAAACTATTGCTTGATGAAGATTTGGAACATCCTGTCTTGGCATAGGTGAGACTCCAAGTAAACTACCCCCTTGTCAAAGGAAGAGAGGCACGGCAGATCTCAGTGTCATCGGTGCTATTAGGTCTGTAGCCAGAAGGAATCCCCATCTCCAAGTCAGGAGCCTGTTGTTAGGATTCACAACAGCCAAAAGACTGAACAGTGAAACATTGCTACCAGCTAACAAAAAAACACTGTAAAAAGGGGCACGGGCTGATGCTGTAACATGAAACTGCAGTGGGAAGTCTGAAGAACTCTTCTTTACACTGATCGGAGAAGAAAAAATCATGCTAGGAAAGATATTCTTGAGCTGCACCAATACTTTGAAGGATTTCAGAAAGGCTTGAGGATGGATCTGTTTAAACCAAGGTGGGAACAAGAAAAGATTGGCTGGAGACCAACATTGGGATTAAGAATGAGTGGCAGTGGAGTTTTTTCCATGTATCCAAAACAAAATATATTTTTCTGTATTAGACGGTACCGACAAAACTCCTTTCACAGAAAGAAAAATGTTACAAATTGCTGGGATACCAATTGTATTTCATAATGTCTGCAATTAAATAAATCTGTAGCTGGGAGTTTTGATTCCCCTTCATCCTGTTTAACAAATTACTAATGTGAAGTCAGGAAGGATTTTTCCTCTCTTAGTGTATCGGCAAGGGATTTCTGATTTTCTAGGACTCACTGAAGATCTTTTTCATATATCCAAGACCCTTTTCGTATATCCAGAATGGTTTGGTTTGCTGTAACACAGAGGACTGGGGATGAGGTGCTTAGTGTAGTAGTCTATATGGCGTAGCATTGATGAAACTTTCTCCATTTCCCTAAAACTCTCAGTTGCCTTATGTTTACCTATGACTTGAAGGGCTGGCTGGTCGTCTTTATGCATCATACCCACCAGTGCAACAGGTGAGGGAGTACCAGGAGGCTATGTGGGGAGAAAAGACACGTTGCATGGATTTTGCAAAGGTTCCTCTGACTTCTCAGAAAGACCTGGCCTTGCCAGTTCTAGAAGATCGGGAGCACTGGGCTGTGTTCAGTTTGTCGTTATTGTCTGAAAGCTTTTAAAATAAAGTGCTTATACAAGGTGAGCAGGCAGAGCTTAGAAGCTGGCTGTTCCCTGTACTGTAAATCTACTTTTGTTCTTCTTCCGTTTGATTATATAGAGCGTGTGTAATACCCACAGGAGGGCTCCAAGTCCAAACTGAGAAAACTTATGGTAGTTTTAGAAATGAATCTGTCTGAGACGCTATTTAAGCGTATCCATTACCGCTTTCATTAAACTCTTTTTTATGGTTTAGGACACAAGTGTAAGTATTTTCTCAAAGTTTCTCTAAGACTTTCAAACTGTTTCCCAGTGGACCAAAGAAACCTGAAAAATACCATTTAAAGAGATGAGTACTGAGTATTACCCTCCCTTCATTAACTTTAAATGAAGTACAGTCTCTTTCTTGGAGAAGAGCCTTTCAAATGAGCAGAAAATCGTCATACACTGGCTAGGCGAGCTGTGCTTGATGGAGGAGCAAACACCACAGCCCTCCAACAACCAGCTGGTCCTCGCCTCTCCATCCCCTGTCATCTGTCTCTTCAGAAAGCCATTCCCAGAGTGTGAACCATAGAATCATAGAATGGTTTGGTTTGGAAGGAACCTCAAAGATCATCTAGTTCCAACCCCGCTTCCATGGGCAGGGACACCCTCCACTACACCAGCTTGCTCAAAGCCTCATCCAACCTGGCCTTGAACACCTGTGCTAACTCTGTCTTGTTCCTGGCTCCTTATCAGTTGACACCCCTGAACGTCTCTTGCTTTTCCTCAGATGTCCCCAAGGAGCAGCGGCTGCAGGCAGTGCAGGCAGCCATCATGCTGATGTCCGATGAGAACCGCGAGGTTTTGCAGACTCTGCTGTGCTTCCTGAGCGATGTCACCTCCGTGGAGGAGAATCAGATGACTCCTATGAACATAGCTGTTTGTCTGGCCCCTTCCCTCTTCCATCTCAATATAGTGAAGAAAGAAAGCTCACCAAGGTAAGTATCTTCCCAACGCTACAAATAGCCATATCCTGAAATGATGCTTTCGGTGTTTCTAGAGGCGCACAGGGTACAATTTTCCAAAGCATCTGCCTTCCAGTACACGTTACACAGGGCATGGCTTCAGTGAGAGGGGAAAGCCCGTGCCGCAGAGCCAGACGCACACTTGCACAGGCACAGAAGGCATTTTCACAAGCCCGGCCGGGTGTTTCTGGATGGCTGTTGTGAATATGCAGTGCCCGCTTTCTGTCTGAAATTTCAGTGGGGCACTAAGAGAGTTTTGCGTGAGTAATCTTGGCTTCTGTGAAGGAAAAAGGCCTGATTTTTCTCTGCTTGAAGTCAAAGATTGACCATATTTTAAAGGATTTTAATACGTAGATTTTTAGTAAGTGTTTTTTCACGGTGTTTTCTGGCTACATTCTACCAGTTGGGAAACAGTTTGTTTCAGATCACATTAAGATGGCGTGTAACATGTTAAGTATAGACTAAACAGGGTGTAGACTCTGCTGAGCGTTAGTGGTCCCGACTTGATGTCCCTTCTGACTTTCTTTCCCATCTGGTTCAGAGTACACTGAGATTTATGATCATGTATATGTATAACCAGGATCTGAGCAAGAGTTTTAAGCAGTAGCAACATAAAACACTGTACATCATGTCTTTTAGAAGTCCATTCCAAAATGGGAATGGACTAATGCAGGACATGCATAACCTTTCCTGCTTTTACCTTTGGCTCAACAGTATTTTAGGTAAGCATTTTTCCTTTAAAAAAGTCCCAACAGTCTGAGCAATCTTTGTGATAAATAATAAAAAAAAAAAAGATAGGCTTTTCTCTCTGGTGTTCTGAGCATCCTGCTGCTGTTTGCTTTCATATGAAAAAGATTCAGCTTTTTACCTGAGACACTGAATTCAATTACAGAGTAATACAGAAAAAATATGCAACAGGGAAGCCAGATCAGAAGGACCTCAGTGAAAACCTGGCAGCTACTCAGGGACTTGCTCACATGATAATGGAATGCAACAAACTTTTTGAGGTGAGTGAGAGACTCAAACGGCGTTATTCATGGCCACATAATGCAGCATCCCTTGAAGTATTTATGTTTATGCTTACATTTTCTGTCTTGTATTAGCTCACAGATTGATGGTGCCTCACTTATTTGTAAACTTGCTCCATCTAAAGTTTATTTATCTCATTTCTTTATGACTGTTCCCTTCAAAGACTCAACTATTAAAAATGCAGGGTAATTACTCTGTGGCAGTTTTCAACCCAAATTACTGGATTAGGAAATTTTAGTCTAATTAAAATTAAAATCTGCTGTTTTAACATTTCATATTATTATAATGCTTTTAGCACCTCAGTTAAAACTTATTCATCTTAAAAGAAGAGCCTTTAAACTTTATTTCTGTGTGTCATGCAATAAAGTTAAAATCACATAGGGAGATGCAGTCATTCCTGCAGCTACTTTCACTGCAGGTGGAGGAGAGAGAATGCTCATCTCTTCCTTTCCCAGAAGCACAAGGCAACATTTCTAGGGGCTAGAAGCATAACGAAGGTGTATTGACATACAGCTGATCAGTCTAATGTGCTTCTGCATGAGCCGTGCTATTCTGAGCCAGGGACTGTTTCATTCTACTACTTTGATTTCTCATCTTGCATAATAAGCAAAGACAGAAATAGATATCCATTTTACAGATCATAGGCTCATTGCAATTGGATGCTGAATGGTCCATCAGCCTAGAAACACATTGCCTTAAATTAAGTTCTCAGCTGGAGGTTTTTCCTGTGTGTTTTCCCTCCTTTCTGTGGCACAGGTGCCGCACGAGATGGTCGCTCAGTCCCGAAACTCCTACATTGACGCAGAAGTGCATTCTCCCACTCTGGATGAGCTTGGGAAACAAGTGGATGAGGAAGGAGGGAACTATCAGATGTACCTGGAAAGTCTCATGCAGAATCTCCAGAAAGAAGTGAAAGAGAAATTCAAAGGATGGGTCACATGTTCCAGTATGGAGAACACAGAACTCGCCTACAAAAAGGTAATCTGGGGAGACATGGAAGAAGCAGTAAAGAAACCAAAGCAAAGTAGGTCCCTTCCAACCCTAACCATTCTATGACTCTATGATTCTATACAACCTAGCTATGGGACACCCTGACTTGTTGCATGCCTCAATACATACTTTTCTGTCTGGTGAGGCACACAACTTTTTTTTTTTTTTAAAGACTACTAAAAGCAGTCAAAAATGTAATATGATCATGATTCAAGTATGAGATTCCAGGAAAAGGTACACAAAGCAAGCTAAGGTCTCCAAAATGGATAAAGTGATACAGCAGACACCACAACCAGAGAACGAACTGAGACTTTAAACAACAGATAACATTACCTGGGTAAGCTCTTTGACTAGGGGACAGGCAAAGTTTCTGACTGTCTCCTGTTGTTTGCCAGCAGTTTGGAGAACACAGGCAGTTCACAGGTTTTAAAAACCCTCTTCAGGCTGCCTGCTGCCTTACTTAGCCATATGGCCAATGTTATCTCTGGTCCCCTTGTCCTTGTTTCGAGTGGATTTTTGATATCTGCAACTTTTATCAAAACTTCTGAAGTTGTTCCAGGCTCCGTCACTTCTGCAGGGAAAGCTAGACCGCTGCAGCCAGGAGGAGGGTGCTGCAGGGTCCCTGCAGACAGTGGGGTTCAGGGCTGCTGGAAATGCTATGGCAGAACAGAGGTCTGCAAACCCACAACTAGCGATGGAGGGGGTGGGTTAGGGGTGGGTGATATGAGTAAGGGAGGGAAAGGGCACTGGGAAGAGTGTGGGATTTGGATGGTGAAGGGGGCAGGGAGTCTTAGGGGCTGGAGGTAGCAATACCCCTATTTGGAAAGGGCAACCCCTCTGTTAGGGCAAAGAAATCACAGTTACCCTGGTTTGTAGCCGGCTTCTGTGAGTGACCTCTCCAGGGAGGGACTACAGGAGGTTGGGGAGGGAGTGACAGGGCTCAGGTGGGAGTAGGATGCAGGAGAGGGGAGGGAATGAATAGGGTCAGGCACAGGTCTACCTGGGGATGCCAGGGTAGGGAGGGGTTAGAAAAGCAGGGCTTGCAAGATCCAGTGCTTACAGTTAACTTGTTTGCTGCCTGAAATACGACAGCCCTAAAACCATGCAGAAATGCTTTACGTGTGGAATTTAGGATATTCATCTAGGAAAGCCTAGCACTTTCCACTCCCCTTATTGCATGCTGTGGAGGTGTAACAAGTAACAGGAGACATGAGCTAGGGAAAGTAAGCAAGAAGTTTGTGTTCCTTCTTTGAAAGGCATTTTCCCAGTACTTCTCTTGTGGCTATTTTGTGGAGCAAACATCTGTGTATCTGACACATAAGTGAATGAACATGTGTTCTGCTCTTCCACCAATTAACCAGGACAGTTAATTGACCCTTAGTCCCAGCTAGTGCATCAGATTGCCGGAGGTGGTAGCTTTATTTCAGCCCAGGGTTTCGGTCTCTCCTTTCATCTGTTTTTACTTCTACACACACATATTCATTACGCTTAGGATGCTTGGGGTTGAAAAAGTGTCTGTCACACCAGAAATAATACAGCAACTCCACTGGCACTATGGGAACTGGTCCAGATATACACAGGTGTATCGCTTCAGTTTTCCATCCAGGACTAGTATGCGTATGCTTTCACATAGGGAAGAGCAGCAGCAATAGCAATAATAGCAATTATTAGGAGGGAAATATGCATGCTCTTAAGCTAAAGCCAGATACCCATAACAAGATTCTGTCATCAGTTCTCCTCTGCTGAAGACACGCATATAGATCACGGGGTTTTCTATTCTTTGTTACTTTACTCCAGGTTGGGGACGGGAACCCCCTAAGGCTTTGGAAAGCCTCAGTGGAAGTTGAAGCCCCTCCGCCAGTTGTCCTGAACCGAGTGCTGAGAGAACGTCACCTCTGGGACGAGGACTTCTTGCAGTGGAAGATGGTTGAGAGCCTGGACAAGCAGACGGAAGTTTACCAGTATGTTTTGAACAGCATGGCTCCTCATCCCGTCCGAGACTTTGTTGTTCTAAGGTAAGCTAAGGGCAGTTCTCCAGTACCTTTGCTTCCTGCAGTGCGTAGAAGGAAGATCTGGTCTTATCTCAGCCTCAGCATCTGTATAGTTGTGCTTTGAGAACTCTACTCCTAGGCAGCAGTGTTGATCTCTCAAACGGAATGAAAATTGTACACCTAGAGCGTGCTGACCTTTTCTCTCATGTAATTTGAGCAGCACACACTCCCGAGGCCATAAATATCATTTATTCCTTAGAACAGATGTCTGATTATAGCTGCTGTTCTCTCTTAGCTTTGTTTGTTGTGAAAACAGTGCAAATAGAACCCGATTGTTTTTTACGCTGCTTTTGCTGTTCTCTGGGGAGCATTCAATGTTTAAGAGCCAAATGTTTAGTAGAGAAGATAGTGATGCTTTTAAGCTGAGGTTATTATACCGTGTCTATATAAGTTGTTATTTTAGATTTGCAGTTGGAGTCTTTGTAGACCAAGAAATGCTAACCCATAAAAATCCTAGTGTGGAAATGAACAGAAAGAGGCAGTAGATATGTATTCTGACTGTCTTCCAGGGGATGACATCTCTCAAATAAATGCATAGCTGTGTATCAATATTCCAAATTCAGTCCCAATTCTGCCATTGTCTATCTGCCTGTACAGAATAGGCAAAAAAAAATTCCTCTTATGTGCCTTCTGCCTTTGAAATCCTTGCCCTTTGCTTGCTAGGAGCTATTGTGGAGCTGCTGACATATTTCACTTACAGGGTCAGTCCTACAGTTATTTATTTCGGGATGATGTTGTGTGTTCCCATTCTTGGTCTCTGCTTTCTTTGATTGAAATGATGTGCCAGAGAAATGCTAAGCAGTTTTGACAGACGAAATAGTCCAGTGAGTCAGAGTTGTATTAGAGGGAACAAAGATTTAAGGAAAAAGAGGAGCCCTATAAAAAATAATTATAATAGCACATCCCTTTTATGAACTTCAATTTTCTCTTAGAGAACAATAGCACACAGATATTGTTGGTATGAGGGATGAATTATTGGAACTCTTAGGGGAAGATTTTAAAAATATTTTCTGTAAGTTCTTTGTAATGTGAAAACATCAGTCCTCCCATTATGTGATTTCCTTTGCCTTCCTACGGTATAATGGGCTAAAATAATTATTTTGTAATTAATTTTCCTATATAATATTGACTTAAGCCAGTAAGAAATTTGGCCCTCCACATTGCACCGAGAAGATTGCCTGGGAGCGGCGGGGAGGTTTTGATGACGGTAATTCTGTCCTCTTATTTGCCACTTAGCTCACTATTAGGTTTCATGGTGGTTTCTGTTCTTTAAAGACCTGCTGTGCAGTCACATCAGTTAAAGAAAAATCTTGCCATGGCGTTCTCATTCTTTTCACTAACACAGGCAGAATGACCCCCAGGAACTAAAATATGTATCATAAAACTGAATCCTGGTGAGTTTTTAAGGGCTGAAAACAGCTGTCAGGCAGATCTGTCAGATTCTGTTGTTTATCTCTTTTGATTTGTATCATTAAGTCTAGAGCAAGGTTAGCCAGTGATATCGCAGTCAATTTGATACCTTATGATTAGTGGGAAGTGAACAGTGCAATTATAATTCACCTCTGGGGACATGAATAAATATATTTTAACGGACAGCAATTTTCCTCTTCCCAATCAAACTTTTGGCTGTGAAAGGATAAACTTACTTGTTCTTTTCCTCCAGTTTGACAGTCATAACAAGGGAATTAGGCTCCCTTGAGAAGACTGTAATGGTAAGAGGATAGGGGCAATGTTTTGTATGATTGGGATCTGACAGCTCTCAGCTGCCCGGCACAGGCATCGCTTTTCATTAAAGATTCCTCAAGTAGAATCATAGAGCGGTTTGGGTTGGAAGGGACCTAAAAGATCATCTAGTTCTAAACCCATTGCCATGGGCAAGAACACTTTCCCCTAGATCAGGTTGCTCAAAGCCTCATCCCACCTGGCTTTGAACACCTCCAGGGATGGGGCATCCACAACTTCTCTGGGCAGCCTGTTCCAGTGTCTCACCACTCTCAGAGGGAAGAATTTCTTCCTTAGATCTAATCCAAGTATTTAATGTTTGTTAAATATCACAGCATCTCTGTGAGTTAGGTGTCATGCCTGGTTTTACTACTGTAAGATATACAGAGAAGTACAGAAACTGGCCTAAATCCACATAACTGGGAATACAAATCATAAGTCATCTGCAATCTCTGGGATAAATGGTTTTCCACTTCAGGAATGACCCAAGTGCGTGCCATCTAGTTACAGTCGCATCTCAGCACTGTGCAGGCATTCACAGCAGAGGGTTCAGCATTTCACAGTAGATCTGAGGTGTGCATTAATAAAAGTGATGAGCTACCTTGGCAGATGAAACACACGGAAAGTAGGAAATCACACCTTAGATCTGTAAGACTGTGTTTTGTCATTGCTACTTGCAGTGTGTGGTGGCAAATAACCACCACGTAATCGGCACCAGCCAACTGAGGAGACTTTCCTCAGCTGCTGTGCGTCAGTGGGTGTTAGCAGCAGAACACCCTGGTAAAACGTGCTGCATTTATACTTCTCATCACCCAGAGTATTGTACATTAATGTCATTGATTAAATAAAGCTTGTCATGAAAGGACATTTTGTTTTTAATTGAGGCCCTTGAAACATGTTCTTGGAGTTTCAGAAGTTAGTGTGGGTACTAGCAAGGATTTCTGCTGTGCTAAACTGTGTTTGTTGTTCTGTCAGTCTGCATGGATGCAATACGACATTTCAGCCTTTGTTGGATGGCTTGTGCTCCTCTCATGTCCTTTCCAAAACTTTTATCTGCAAAAGGCTGTGTCGTGCCCTGCAACACATGATGGCTACAAAGTGCTCGTGTGGAGACGCAAAACTTCTCCACCTGGAGCCTGCAGCAACGTAGATGGGTGACCATTCCACATCACAGTCAGACTCCAAACTAGGGTGGGCGGATGACAGCAGAATTATGTGGATATTGTCCTTCAGGAAAATAATGTACATAGCACTGATTACAAGATCTTCCCCTGATTTGTTTCAGAAGGTGCAAGTTCGGGGGGTTGATTTGCCTCCTCCTGTACCAATGTATCCCCAAACCTCTGAGCAGTTCTTATCAAGATTATAGTACCTAACATTAAAATTAATATATTAATTATAATAATTAATATATTACAGGAGGGGATCTAGCTCTAAAGTTTGAGCTTGATAAGTTTCTGTGGCCTGTTCTGAGCAATATTGCTTACAAACCCAGAACACAAAACTCCTTCAGGGACTCCTAGGAGAGTCCAGTGGCATTGCAGGCAACAGCAAGGATAGGCAGACAAACTGCAACTTTAACTCAGGTTCTTACTCGTGTCCCCAAAAGTTTTGTTACTAAAGCAATGCCATTTTGAATGTTTTGCTGCAGAACGTGGAGGACGGATTTGCCAAAGGGCATGTGTATGCTCGTTGCCATCTCTGTGGAGCACGAAGAGGCTCCTC